TTATAAATGAATCAGCCACAGAACTAGAATCTAAAACCAACTTGTAACACATCATTGATTACGAAAGATTCGATAATTCCGATGCAAAAGCGCAGCGCCCTACTCCGACTCCGGTACAAATTATCGATTTTCGCCCCCCCCCCCCCTCCCCCCCCCATACTTTTGTACATGTTTATTTTTCTTAATTTTGATACATTTAATTCAGTTACATGCATCATAAAATGAACATTATTTTTAGTTCTACCCATTGTGACACCCTCCTAAAGTCAACGCTCGCCCCCCCCCCCTCCTTGCTACCCCACCCCAGATAAACCACAGACTAGGTGTACCCTTGCACCAGTGGTTACCCCACCCACACTGCCCAACTTCTCAGTTAACTAGACCGCGGCATTATGCCAGAAAAACATTCGTTTTGAATAGTTCTTATAAGTATTGTTACTTAATTAATTTTGTTTGAGATCGATCAATATTGAAAATACAGTTACTCCACCCAGTTGGGCTCAGCTTATTCTATTTACTGATAAGACAGTTATAAATAAACCTTTCACGTTTGTATGGAGCAGAGTTTCTTCCAGGCATCTCTTCCCCCCGAAAACTTTGTGTTCAAATTAAAATCTTTCTGTTTTTATATTAAAAACTTTCTCTTCAAATTAAAAACGTTCTCTTCAAAAAAAAAAAAAAAAAAAAACAACCTTCTTTTCAAATTAAAAACTTTCTGTTCAAATAAAAAATTTCTCATCAAATAAAAAACTTTCTCTTCATATAAAAAAAACCCTTTCCCCTCAAATTAAAATCGATACCATCTATTCAGTCTTTAGGCAGGACAGTTTTGAATTTTTATTTGTATTTGTTTTTTCCCTTACTATTATTTCAATCGATTTTATTTTTACAAAATACGTAACAATTTTTTTTTTAAATCTGCAATTTTGAATTTTAAAATAATAAACTTGTTCTTTAAAATGTTATAAAATATTGCAAAGCTTATTTCCCACTTTTTTCCTATAAAAACTTTAATTTGATTGGTTATTTTTTTTTTAGGCAATTTTATTTTTCAAAAGGGGGTCGTGGTTGTGGAGGGGTCACGCTACCCGCCCCGTCAAATGTTGTTCTACCATCGCCTTTGCCCCTGAGTTCAGATCGTCTCCCCTCCAAATGAGTTCTTTATGGCGGGGAAAACCCGCTAACAGCATAATGCGTGTTTTATTATCGCTTTATACCAGCAGATCCGGAAATTCCCCTTCAACGTCCCCCCCCCCCTCCGTCTCATAAAATAGAAATACACTCGCACACTTTTTCTTTCTTTCTTTCTTTCTTCCTTTCTTTCTTTCTTTCTTCCTTTCTTTCTTCCTTTTTCTGCACAGCATCATCAGATCTTTAAGACGATATGCTACAACATCGACGGTACAGTCTCATACAACTAACCCTAACCCCTGACAACTATCGACATACGCCCTCCGTACGTCAGGTACATTACCCCCCCCCCCCCCCCCCCTCCCCCATCCCTAGGAGCGTCTGCAGAATGCATGTTGTTAAAAACTCAAATGAGAAGCTTCAGTAGAGGAGCTATAATTTAATGAAAACAAAATCACGCCGCTTCTGTGAGAAAGTTTTTTTTTTTTTTTTTTTTACTTTGAGAGAAAAAACGTTTTTTATGTTACAAATGTTGGAGTTTTAGTGAGAGCACCGTGTTGAGCCCGGGGCTCCTAAAGTATGACCCGGGGCTCCTTAAGTATGACCCGGGGCCCCTAAAGTATTGCCGGGGCCCCTAAAGTAAGACACGGGTCCCCTGAAATGTGTCCCGGGGCCCCTAAAGTATGGCCGGGGCCCCTGTAGTATGGTCCGACGGGGCCCCTGAAGTGTGGCCCAGGGCCCCTGAAGCATGGCTCAAGCCCCTGAACTAAGGCCCACCGGGGCCCCTAAAGTATGCCCCGGGGCCCCTGAAGTGTGGCCCGGGCCCCTCAAATATGGCACATTGTTGGAATTAAAACTGTCTACTTGATCTCGATGTGGGAGTTATCATTTAAATGTTAGTTTTTTTTAAATCACCAGGCAGGACTGTGGGGGGGGGGGGGCGTTGTGTGTGTGTGTGTGTGTGGTGTATGTGGGGGCGTGAGTGTTGGGATGGTAGAGATGAACGCTTGGGTAATGGGGGTGGGGGCTTGCGTATATGTGTGGAGGGGCGTTTTGTGTCTTATGTGTGTGTATATGTGTAGACAACGTGTGTGTGTTTGGGGGGGTGGGGGGGTTAAATGTATGTTTTTTTCTTGTAAAGATTTTATAATACTGGATACATTTCCATCCGGCTGGATAACCCCCCCCCCCCTCCCCCACCAACCCGAAGCCTACTAGAGAGATATGAACCAAATGATAACAAGCTTGAAATATTCAACCCTACAAATATTCACTCCGTACGTGACGCATGCAACATATGATTATATGTTGCTTATGTCTCTCTTTATGTCTGTGTTCTTTGTCGATAATTTCTACGTCGATAATTAGAGCGTCGATAATTTTTGCACCATTGATTACTGTGAGCGTGTCTCTAATTTCTGGAAACTTCTGAGACAGATAGTTGGGTAAAAACGTGTCACTAATTTGTAGGAAATGTAACTGTTGTACGAGATAAAAGTTGGACGGTTTTTTTTTATGTGCAGGTTCATACAGGTCATAGGTCATGGTGACCTGTCCTAGGGTGACAGGGGAAAATATAAAGGTGTGTGGGACACTTTATAAAGGTGTGTGGGACACTTTATAAAGGTGTGTGGGACACTTTATAAAGGTGTGTGGGGCACTTTATAAAGGTGTATTGGACAGTTCATGAAGCTGTGTGGGACACTTTATAAAGGCGTGTGTGGGACACTTTATAAAGGTGTGTGGGACACCTCATAAAGGCGTGTAGAACACTTCATAAAGGTGTGTTGGACAGTTCATGAAGCTGTGTGGGACACTTTATAAAGGTGTGTGGGACACTTTATAAAGGTGTGTGGGACACTTTATAAAGGTGTGTGGGACACTTTATAAAGGTGTGTGGGACACTTTATAAAGGTGTGTGGGACACTTTATAAAGGTGTGTGGGACACTTTATAAAGGTGTGTGGGACACTTCATAAAGGTGTGTGGGACACTTCATTAAGGTGTGTGGGACACTTTACAAAGTTAAAATTGATGAACGAAAAGAAAAAAAAATATATTTAGAAAATATTTATTTTTAACTAGTGTCCGGCCCATCCCCCAAATTATAAGGTGGCTCCCCCCCCCCCCTTTACTCCCCGTAAAAAATGTGTATCCTTGAATGTTCCAGTGCGTACTAAAGTGTTTATTAAATGCATACATTTTAAAATCAAAATCTTTAAAATCTCTTTTATTGATAAAATATAAATAGTAAATTTCAATGGTTAAAGTACATAAAAAATTTATTAAAAAACAAGCACCGTGTAACACAGCATATAATAAAATTCTACCAAAGTTTTCATGCTGTTTTTGTAACTTAAAAGTCTACGTACGTCTATCTAGTGTCTCCAGATGAAGGTGTTTTTAAAAAAATATAATGCAACAAATTTAAAGATAAAACTTTATTTATTTCGTTAAGGCATGAATCGTTCATTCTATATTTCTTGCTGTTATAAATATATTTCTTTATTAAAATTAACAACAAAAATCAATGAATGTTTTAACTACAAAAATGGCCTCTTTTTATTCTTTAATCCACGGTATCTAGATCTTGGTGATTTTTTTTTTTAGATTGCTAGATCTTCGTGAATTTGTTATATAGTAGAGTCTTTGTGAATTTGTTCTATATCGCTAGATCTTGGAGTATTTTTTAGCTAGTGCATTTAAAAGAAAGCTATTATGAAGGTTTTTTAATATTTGTTTCATTGCTTATTTCGACAAAGATTGAAGTCTCAACCGCATTTCCGTTCCCGCTATCTTAGGGTTTACAATACTTTTTAGTTATACTTTGTCGTTACCGACATTTCAAAGCTTACACAGTGTAATTTAAAAAATTGAATTGTAATACATAAGAAATAAAAAAAAAAAAAACAGAAAAAAATGCACATTCAAAATATCAAATTTGAAAAAAATTCGTTCAAATATCAAAACATTGTAACGAGTTGATTCAGTGGCAAAAAATATTTGTCACTTATTTAAGATTTTAAAAAAATCTTTTTTTTTTCTTTTTATAATAAATGGCGTCACACTCCTGAGACCCGGTAGAAATGAGTGCCTGAATAAGAGACAGGGGACTTAATGTTTGTGACAATGTGTGACGATGTGTGACAATGTGTGACGATGTGTGACGATGTGTGACAATGTGTGACAAGGTGTGACAAGATATGACAATGCAGGAGGGTGTGGGGGTGAAAGTTCAAATAACGTGATGTAATATATTTTACGATTACGTTCAATGGAGTCAAAATACAACACAAATAATAATAAAATCATATGGTCAAATTTATACTGAATACTTAAGCCGTATATTCTAATTATGAAAACTTAATTAATGTATTCATGCACATAACGTTGTGGATTGTTTAGCTGAATTGCTGTATGTGTTGTTTAATAATGGGGATTAAGATCCTTAGAGTTATTAAAAACTTACACACTTTGATTTCGAGTATTAAATTATTCATGCTTACAAAATGATTGTCACCATGGTTAGACTTACATAACAGCGAGACAATAAAGTCAACATTCATTACAACTAGTGTTTTGTTACGTGGGTGGGGCGCTGTTTTATGTGGCTCTAAATATAGGTCGTCACGTGACAGGTCCTAATAATGTTTGGCACCTGACGTCATGCACGTCATGAGAATATGGCAGTATCTGGTGCTGGCATCTCGTCGATGTAATCATAGGTGGAGTAGAGTGCACCTAATCCTGAAGCAACCGAACGTAACTTATAGACATCGTTTTGCTAGCACCCAACTATAGTCTTGACAGTGTGTGGGGAGGTGGGGGGTGGGTTTATGATGTATAGACGTATATATGTATAGACGTATATCACATGTTCAGTACTGCGGTGTCGAGGCCAGGACAGCCGTGCGGTACTGTCCTTTTATGCAGTACTTCAGTACCAACTTTCAAGTACTCCTCTCTGTATCCCGGCACATCGGAGTCGGTACTGAAGACAAACGGGTAGATGTCGTGTAGTACCCCGCAGTGCACCGTCGTCTTCCCGCCGTAGTAGAAGTTGGTGTTGGTCTTGTGGATGTACTCGGGGGTCACGCACTCGTTCTGGTCATGTGACCGGTGCACGACAAGGTCAAGGTTGCACGGAACCGGGACGGTCAGGTGCTCGAAAGGTCGGTAAAGCAGCGGGAAAATGTCCGACTTCCGGTAAACCAGGTCGTGTTTGAGGCCTTTGGTTACCGCCCAGATGTGGGTGGAATCTTCGTCGTAGAAGAAAATGTCCAGGTAGGGGAACTTGAAAGGTTTGTCCGGGAACACAGTAGCAGTCGACATGAAGAATTTCCATTGGCTGTCGGTAGGGGCGTAGAGTTCAAACCCCCGGATGTCCCCGAGCACGTCACGTGTCTCCCGCCATTGCCGGATGTTCATGGCCACGTCAACGTCATCGTCCCAGGGCACGAGGCCGTGGTGACGCGTGACTCCCATCAGTGACGCCTCCGTCATGAAGAACTGGAGGTGAGCAGTTCTGCACGCATGCGCGAACGTTTCGAGCGTGAAGATCAAGGACGCCGACTCTGCTGCCGTCATGATGGGTTTGAATTGATCGATCACGTCCAATCGATGTTCGAACTGTCCGTTCTGAAGATTTTGGTGCTGTGTGAAGCGGTCGTTGAACTGTTGGTAGAAGATCTCTCTAGTTCTGGTCAGTTCGGCAAGTCTACTGATGTTTACCTGGGCAGATTTAATCAGGTAATTAGGTCAAGTAAATTGAGTTGTAAAAGAAGAACGTTTACCTGACGATTTAAAATGTATAGGCCTACATTTGTTTACTAAATAGGATTCAAGTTAAAAAAATAATTTGAGTAACTCGGTTTGAATATTTAAAGCTGATTTTTGTTTCATTACATGGATCAGAACTCACATTCAGAAGTAAATGGTGGAAGATGCGGCTCAATAAGTAGAGACAAGAATCGCTTGAGTCTTGTTCTAGAACATCTCCTAAGACTTACATATGTTTTACCTGCTCTAAGACACTATCAGAACATGGAGAAACACCTGTCCAGCAGAACGTAGAAAAAGTCTCACCTGTCCTATAGACAAATACCTGTCCAACAAAGTCTCACCTGTCCTATAGACAAGCACTCACCTGTCCAACAAAGTCTCACCTGTCCTATAGACAAATACTCACCTGTCCAACAAAGTCTCACCTGTCCTATAGACAAATACTCACCTGTCCAACAAAGTCTCACCTGTCCTATAGACAAATACTCACCTGTCCAAAAAAGTCTCACCTGTCCAACAAAGTCTCACCTGTCCAACAAAGTCTCACCTGTCCAACAAAGTCTCACCTGTCCAACAAAGTCTCACCTGTCCAACAAAGTCTCACCTGTCCAACAAAGTCTCACCTGTCCAACAAAGTCTCAAATGTCCAACAAAGTCTCACCTGTACAACAAAGTCTCACCTGTCCAACAAAGTCTCACCTGTCCAACAAAGTCTCACATGTCCAACAAAGTCTCACCTGTCCAACAAAGTCTCACCTGTCCAACAAAGTCTCACCTGTCCAACAAAGTCTCACCTGTCCAACAAAGTCTCACCTGTCCAACAAAGTCTCACCTGTCCAACAAAGTCTCACCTGTCCAACAAAGTCTCACCTGTACAACAAAGTCTCACCTGTCCAACAAAGTCTCACCTGTCCAACAAAGTCTCACATGTCCAACAAAGTCTCACCTGTCCAACAAAGTCTCACCTGTCCAACAAAGTCTCACCTGTCCAACAGACAAACACTCACCTGTCCAACAAAGTCTCACCTGTCCAACAAAGTCTCACCTGTCCAACAAAGTCTCACCTGTACAACAAAGTCTCGCCTGTCCAACAAAGTCTCACCTGTCCAACAAAGTCTCACCTGTCCAACAAAGTCTCACCTGTCCAACAAAGTCTCACCTGTCCAACAAAGTCTCACCTGTCCAACAAAGTCTCACCTGTCCAACAAAGTCTCACCTGTCCAACAAAGTCTCACCTGTCCAACAAAGTCTCACCTGTCCAACAAAGTCTCACCTGTCCAACAGACAAAGTCTCACCTGTCCAACAGACAAAGTCTCACCTGTCCAACAAAGTCTCACCTGTCCACCAAAGTCTCACCTGTCCAACAAAGTCTCACCTGTCTAACAAAGTCTCACCTGTCTAACAAAGTCTCACCTGTCCAACAAAGTCTCACCTGTCCAACAAAGTCTCACCTGTCCAACAAAGTCTCACCTGTCTAACAAAGACTCACCTGTCCACCAAAGTCTCACCTGTCTAACAAAGTCTCACCTGTCCAACAAAGTCTCACCTGTCCTTCAGACAAAGTCTCACCTGTCAGACAAAGTCTCACCTGTCCAACAAAGTCTCACCTGTACCTGGTCCCAGTACCTACTCCTGACCAGCGGGTACCTGTTGACCTCGAGTTCCTGTCGTGTCGTGATGACCTGCAGAAGGTGGACCTTGTCCGTGTCTGCCCAGGGGGTGGGCAGCACCAGGTTGAGAACCGCCAATCTGATCGTCTGCACCAACACGAGCGCCGTCATGGCCGCCATCATGGTGCACGTGACTCGTCTGGTCAACCATTTGCGCGGCATTTTTGGTGAGGTCGTCTGCTGGCGTGGGGCGGTCGTCTGGTTGTGGCGGTCGTCTGGTAGCTTTTGGAAACTTCTAGACTTCAAAATACCCTTGGGGCACCAACAAAAGTAGAAACTACGAAACGCCAGCAGAAGATATGAGACAGCACCGTCAGCAACTGACCTGAGAGAAATTATTTTTATTCACATATTTAACATTGCGGACAAGAAAATATTCCATTTTTATTTGGTAATTGAAATAGAATTCCAATGGTTTCAAGTACCAGTAATCACATTTGTGTTCAGTTCGTTAGGGCCAGAGATTGTGTTTAGATAAGTCACGTGATTGTTTTATTATTAGAGTAAGACGTATGCAAATGGCTTGTTTATTCCAGCAGATGGGTGCAGGCAAATCTAAATAGTTTTAAGGTCATTAATTTAATACAATTCATTATTGTAAAATATATCGAACTCAATGACTAGGTTTTTTTTTTTGTGGGTTTTTTTCGGAGGGGGGGGGGGGAAGTTTAAATGTTTAATGGCTGATTTCAAATTTGACGTATCAAACAAATTAATTCTTCACAAAAGTTATGACGTAATCTGTGAATACTTTATGAGAACAACAAAACAATTAGCGTCAGCGGTATCTAATTTTGTTACAATTGCGAACACTCAAATGTCGCAATATTGATCAGTTTCTGTTTGCCTGGGGGGGGGGGGGGGGGGGGTCGTTTAGTCATTCAGTGTTCCCTAATGCAGGAATCTATGATAGGGATTGTAATTTTGGGGTATGTAACAAAAGACAACGCTGTAGATAAAAGTAAAAGCCAGAGTAAATAAATATAAAATAAATTTTAGACTGAAACAAAGTAGGTCGCCACCAGACACCGCTTCATTCGATGTTATTAACGAGCTGGGTGTGACTACTTAAAGGGGGTGAGGGGGAGAGGGAGGTTGGGTGGGGGTGGAGTCCGCAATATCCATCTGATAAGGCCAAAAGTGATTGCCTGATAACACAGTAGATCTATAACCAGTTGTTATTTGTAAAGCAATTGTCGCAGAGGCTCAACCAAAACGAATCTGTTTCTGCACTGCTATGTGTGTATGTATGTATGTAACGTATGTAAGGATGTGAGTGCATGGCTTAGAGAGATGTGTTTAGATGCGTCGGTCGTTCAAATCCCCCTACACAAAATATTTTAAAAATAAAATTTTGAAATTTGTTAAAGGTTAAAAACATTTCTCTGACACGTCTAAAAACTACACCATATTGTCGGCACATTAGTGCACCATGTACACCATATTGTCGGCACATTAGTGCACCATGTACACCATATTGTCGGCACATTAGTGCACCATGTACACCATATTGTCGGCACATGATTAGTGCACCATGTACACCATATTGTCGGCACATCATTAGTGCACCATGTACACCATATTGTCGGCACATCATTAGTGCAGCATGTACACCATATTGTCGGCACATCATTAGTGCACCATGTACACCATATTGTCGGCACATCATTAGTGCACCATGTACACCATATTGTCGGCACATCATTAGTGCAGCATGTACACCATATTGTCGGCACATCATTAGTGCAGCATGTACACCATATTGTCGGCACATTAGTGCGACATGTACACCATATTGTCGGCACATTAGTGCGACATGTACACCATATTGTCGGCACATTAGTGCGACATGTACACCATATTGTCGGCACATTAGTGCACCATGTAAACCATATTGTCGGCACATTAGTACACCATATTGTCGGCACATCATTAGTGCAACATGTACACCCTATTATTGTCGGCACATCATTAGTGCACCATGTACACCCTATTATTGTCGGCACATTAGTGCGACATGTACACCATATTGTCGGCACATTAGTGCGACATGTACACCATATTGTCGGCACATTAGTGCGACATGTACACCATATTGTCGGCACATTAGTGCGACATGTACACCATATTGTCGGCACATTAGTGCGACATGTACACCATATTGTCGGCACATTAGTGCGACATGTACACCATATTGTCGGCACATTAGTGCACCATGTAAACCATATTGCCGGCACATTAGTACACCATATTGTCGGCACATCATTAGTGCACCATGTACACCCTATTATTGTCGGCAAATTAGTGCGACATGTACACCATATTGTCGGCACATTAGTGCGACATGTTTTGTCTGATGATTAATCTGACGTCAGCAGATAACTCCATCTTGACATGACGCTGATGGTAACACACAAGTCTGGCTCAACCACAGGTCTTAACATAGTCGTAGTCTTAATGTTACTGATGCGATTTAAACACATTTTTAAAAAAAATTGGATGTGGCGACCATGATATAAAACAAGTTTTAAAATTTTGGATTCTTAACGGTTTCTTTCCGACATAATGCTCAAGGGGACGGGGATTTTATACTTGAGAAGGGGGGGGGAGGTGAATTATAAGAATGGATAAAGCACAGTATATTTTGCATTTCGTGTCAATATTTTTTTTGCATTTCAATAGGGGGGGGGGGGTCAAAGAGATGTTTGGGAAAAAAAAAGTGTATCTACATATAATATACGAAACTACCACTAACACCACTACTAATAATACTTACATATGCTGATAAGTATCATCCAGGGGCTTACACCACGGGGCTTACATACATTGCCTTACATCTCTAGGCTTACATCCCATGGCTTACATCCCTAGGCTTACATCACAACGTTTGACGTTTGGCTGTTCTACACAGTCGACAGCTGTGGCAGGTGTAAAATGGTCGGACATCGACCACAGGTGACACTACAATATGGCGGGTACATTTGATCCGGGTAGCACCAACTTCATTAGCTTTAACCCCCCCCCCCCCCACCACACCTTCATATGGCTCCACAATTTGCGTGCCCGTATTGTGCGGCTCCTTACAGCGTGGCTCCTAGTGTTGTGGACAGAATCTTTAATTACCCAACGTGGGTCAAAGACACCAAGTATTCGTTAAAGTATTGTAAGACTGCTATTTATTATAACTTAAAGAAATGTAGCATTTATTTCGACCATTCTGTGATATTTTCTTACAATTTTTTACCTTCTGACAATATTTTTTTGCCAATTGTATCGGATATTTTTATTCGGACATGCCCTCTGGGACATGTTGCCTCAGACAATTTAATATGAAATTTTTTTCCCATAGCGTGACTGAGCAGTGTGGTTGGTCATATGTCAATATTGCTCACATACAAATATTTATTCAATTTTTTTTTAATGCAGTGACGCTAATGCATGTGTAATCTTTAAAATATTTCATAAAAACTCCGAGAAAATGGTTTTGGTTAAAAGTGACCCACTAAGCATAAAAACACATAGACAGGGTTGGTAAAAATATAATTTCGTGACATCTGTTGACAAGTTTTTAAAGTAAATAAATCTAGTATTTGATGAACTCTGAGCTTTTAAAAAAAAGGCAATTAATTAAGCTTAACATAATTTGTTTCTAGTTAACGACTAGTTAACAATTTAACCGGTTAGCTAGTTAACCATTTAACCAGTTAGCTTGTTAACCATTTAACCAGTTAGCTAGTTAACCATTTAACCAGTTAGCTAGTTAACTAGCTAACCAGTTAGCTAGTTAACCAGTTAACCATTTAACCATGGTTTGGTTATGAGTCGAATGCTAACGAGACCGCCATTAGGCGCTAGTGTTTCATGCAATAGCGTGTCGTACGGCATCTGATGCCGCCTATCAGATGACAGATCACGTGCAGCATGAATATCATTAACATAAATTAACATAAACTTGTTTACAGTGTTCAAAAAGTGTTCTACTTAGCTTGGAAAAAAGTTCAATTCAACACAATATTTTAAGTAAACAATTAGAACTGTTTGCCGAGTATTAATATAACGACTCAAGGACTAGCAATGGAGGCATTGAGGTGTTGGAGGTGGGCTGGGGCGGGGGTAGAGTGGCGCAGGGTAGAGTGGGATGGGTTGTTGTAGTGTGGGGTGGGGCAGGGTATCATGGGTTTGGTAGAGTGGGGTGGGGTGTGGTATAGTGGAGTGGGGTGTGGTAGTGTGGGGTGGGGCAGGGTATCATGGGTTTGGTAGAGTGGGGTGGGGGTGTGGTATAGTGGAGTGGGGTGTGGTAGTGTGGGGTGGGGCAGGGTATCATGGGTTTGGTAGAGTGGGGTGGGGTGTGGGTATAGTGGAGTGGGGTGTGGTATAGTGGAGTGGGGTGTGTGTAGTGTGGGGTGGGGCAGGGTATCATGGGTTTGGTAGAGTGGGGTGGGGTGTGGTATAGTGGAGTGGGGTGTGGTAGTGTGGGGTGGGGCAGGGTATCATGGGTTTGGTAGAGTGGGGTGGGGTGTGGTATAGTGGGGTGGGGTGTGGTAGAGTGGGGTGGTATGGGGCAGGGTATCATGGGGTGTGGTAGAGTGGGGTGGGGTAGAATGATGTGTTGTTTGCAAACAATGGTGTTTAACCCTGTAGGACGAAATGTTACGCTTGTGGATGTTGGTGCGATACTTTTATCCATCTTTTTAATGGATATTTTCCACACCAAACTACTGTAACCCCACACACCAGTAACCCATACACATCACTAACCGCCACTAACACACCAGCCTACACTAACCCCCACACACCAGCCTACACTAACCCCCACACACCAGCCTAAAGTAAATCCCACACACCAGCCTACAGTAACTTTAACACATCACTACCCCCCCCCCAACCCAGCCTAAAGTAACTCACACACACCAGTAACCCCCCACACCAGTAACCTTTACACATCAGCCTTCAGTAACCCCCACACACCAGCCTAAAGTTATCCTCACACACAGCTTGCCCCCCCCCCACACCATTAGCCCTCACACACCAGCCTACACTAACCCTCACACACAACACTAGCCACCACACATACCAGCCTACAGTAATCCCCACACACCAGCCTACAGTAACCCCCCCCC